GAGAGGATCACTCTGTGCACTGGAGCTGCAAGGCGTATTCACTGACATCTGACATTATTAAAACCTGTGTGTGTGAGTGGGAGATGGAGACAGAAATGCGGTAAACAGAGGGAAGAGGGCAGGAAGGAAGGATGGAGTCTTCATCTGTGAAGCCAAGAAAAAAAGAAAAAACCCAAAAGAAACAAGAGCATGAAGGAAAGAATAAACGGGTGTGAGAACGACAGGTAACTCCTCGGAGAGCGACAGGAGAGAGCGGAGAAGGAGGCTGAGCGATGCGGCTTTGTCCTGTCCTGGCTCGCAGAGGTCAGTGCCATCTCATCTGTCAGACCTCTGAGCCAATGGCACGCTCCGATTACACTGTCAGGATGACATCACCGCTGACATCACCACACCTAGTTTAGCATCCTGGAGGATGGCCACAATCGATAGACAGCCTCTGCCCACAGTGTACCACATTCAGACACACACACACACACACACACACACACTCATCTGTGCACAGTAATAACACTATACTGTGTCTCTAAAGGGGGTGAAGGGTGTAATAAGAGGCAGCACATGGGATTTTAACGGGAAAAACAAAAACAGTGGAGGAAAATTAAAAACTATTACAGTTGATGTGGGCCCAGTCATCATTAGAGTCCATTAAGGAAGTTTATTGAGCTGAAATTTCAATATAAAGGAAATGTGCAGGAGTGAAGGCAACAGTGACACAGACGGCTCCTCTGTCTACGTGTAAATAGAAGTAATGGTGTTAATTTATACTGCAGGGGAAAGTATCTCTTGATTCCTTAATCTGTAATTGCGATCTCCAGTGAACAGCTGAGATATCCTTCCGCGTCAAGGAGCAGCATAAATGCATCTGTCTGGGATCAGTTTCATCTCCCAAACACATTCACGATGACAAAAACGCCATCAGTGGTATTAATAACATTCCACACAGCGAGGCCGGAGCGGGTTTTAAATAAATGTGTTGCAATTTGGAGAACGTTTTCCACGCCACGACAGGACTTATTGATTTCACACCTATTACACATGCGAACCACGTGCGCGCACACATAAACAAATGCAAACTCGCACGCTCCGCATCACACACACACACACACACACACACACACATACACCCTCCCCAGAGGGAAAAATATGGTCCATAGGAAAGAACAGAGAGTCCAAGCTGAGGAAGGAAGCAGGACAGTTGGTGGGAAATTTGTGTGTCTGTGTGTGTTGTTAATGTGTGAGTTGATAGACTCCACATCTGGGTTGCACACGTCGCCCAGACCCCTTTTTTTTCTTTTTTTTTTTTTAGTTCACTGTAAGTGTGTGTGTTTGTTTGGACAAGAAAGAAGTAGGGTAACTCCTTTTTTTGTTCCTTGATCTAATTTTCACGGGCATTTTAGTCCCGTTTGCTGTGACACGACAATAATAACTGTACACTGGGTGTAATGGAAAAGGGTACATGTAAATATTGGGGTCATTTACGTCGTCATCTTTCATTCCAGATGTATTTTATAAACTTTCAGTGGTTTTGAAAGTGGTTGAAAATGTCAGATTAGTGAGGACAAATATATTTTCTTCTCACCTTCAGTGACTTTCTCTTTGCTCTCCCTGCTCCTCTGCTGGATCTCCAGCTCAGCCAGCTCTCCCAGTATCTCCATACCGTGGTGGGGCGGAGGACTTGGGGCCTGGACAGCAGGTGCAGGTGGGTACAAGGCATCTCTGGTGGCACACAGAGCCGCGGCAATCAGGAGCTCCAGGCTCCACATGTAGGCCCCTTGGAGCTGGGCTGCTGTGCTTGCCGAAGGAGGGAGGACGGGGTCAGAGGTCGGGGACGGAGCAGGGGAGCTACGCGTTACTTCCACCAAGTCCTTGCCTGGACTTATCCCACTCCCCTCCTCTTCTTCCTCATCTTCAACCACCTCTACATTCTCTCCTTCTTTGTCCCCATCCTCCTCTCCCTCCTCCTTCTCCTCCTCTTCAGGCTCTACAGGCACAGACACAGTACATTCTGTTGGGTCAGGCTCCATTTTCTCTCCCTCATCCTGCTCCATGTCCTCTTTTCCATGTTCCCTCTCATCCTCCTGCTCTTTGGATAGCTGGGGCTCCTCCAGGCTGGCCTTCTGGCCTGGATAACCCAGAGAGAGCTCTACTTTTAGGGTTTTGCCTGTGGCTGTGGCCGGGCAGGCTGGATCTGGGACTGGAGCTGGGGAAGGGCATGGCGGCAATCCAGAAATCTTGCTCTCAGGCTCGGAGACAGAGCATCCTTTTGCTTCCGCCCTCCTTTCTTCCTTCTCTTCCTCCTCAACTCCACTCTGAGATTCCACCACTTCACAGTCTCCCCCGTCGTCTTCTTCCCTTCTCTCATGTTCTTCTTCGGTGAGAGGTTGGACGTGGCATGGATGAGGGAGGGATTTTGAGTCCGGTTCTGCTGGCGCTGCCTCCACCATGGCTTGTTCAGCCAATCGGGCTTCAGCAGGCGAGGGCCCGGCCTTGTAACCCATGGTGATTGGAGGGTAGGTGTATACAGGTGGCAAGTCTGGTAGAAAGAGGGGAGAGCATTGGTTTAATATATACAATGTATATATTTATATATTTATTTTCAAGCATCTACTGAAAATGAACTGAAAAATCTTCTGTCTGCAGTGAGATCTTTTGCTTTTTAAATTCATGGTCATTCTGTTCAGGCAGACAGGAAGCAAGCGATCACAGTTGGAATAATACACTGACAGCTGGGTGCAGAAAACACAGGGAGAGTGTGCGTGAAAGTGTGTATGTGTAAAGTTGTGTATATTATATATACTGCGTGTGTGTGCGTGTGTGTGCGTGTGCGTGTGTGCAGGAGTATGAGTGAGTGTATAGATCTATGTGGGATATTGATGACACCCTGCTGTTTTCCTGTGATTGCAGCGCTGGCCCTGTCACCCCTGCATTCTTATTATTGATGGTATCCCTCCGCCCCCTGACAGCGCAGCCAGATGAATGCGTATCCTTCCGCCTGTACTTCTCAAGGACCCCTGAAGGATAAGGAGGGTCTATCTGAAGAATTCATTGACCTTCCTCTTATGACACCCATGTAAGCTCAGACACATGCGTGCACGTTGGCAGGTCGCACGTACACACACTGAGTGCCCATATGCTTTCTCCGACCTTAATGGCTGACCTGTCCATTGTCCCTCTTTAGCTTGAACAGACACACACACACACACACACACACACACACATCTGTGCACAGTAATAACACTATACTGTGTCTCTAAAGGGGGTGAAGGGTGTAATAAGAGGCAGCACATGGGATTTTAACGGGAAAAACAAAAACAGTGGAGGAAAATTAAAAACTATTACAGTTGATGTGGGCCCAGTCATCATTAGAGTCCATTAAGGAAGTTTATTGAGCTGAAATTTCAATATAAAGGAAATGTGCAGGAGTGAAGGCAACAGTGACACAGACGGCTCCTCTGTCTACGTGTAAATAGAAGTAATGGTGTTAATTTATACTGCAGGGGAAAGTATCTCTTGATTCCTTAATCTGTAATTGCGATCTCCAGTGAACAGCTGAGATATCCTTCCGCGTCAAGGAGCAGCATAAATGCATCTGTCTGGGATCAGTTTCATCTCCCAAACACATTCACGATGACAAAAACGCCATCAGTGGTATTAATAACATTCCACACAGCGAGGCCGGAGCGGGTTTTAAATAAATGTGTTGCAATTTGGAGAACGTTTTCCACGCCACGACAGGACTTATTGATTTCACACCTATTACACATGCGAACCACGTGCGCGCACACATAAACAAATGCAAACTCGCACGCTCCGCATCACACACACACACACACACACACACACACACGTGCACAAGACAGCTGCAGAGCGACTTATGATTTTTACACTTATTAATTCCGTCAACAAGGCTTGCAGAGGCAGGATTTACACACAAGATTACATTGGTTTAATAATAAAAAAAGAAAAAAAAAGAAAGAAGAAGAAGCGAGTGAGGGGGAAAAAAATAACAAAGAGGGAGGAGGAGGAGGAGGAGAGGCGGGAGGAGGCGCAGGCAGGGAGCAGGCAGCCTGGTGGAGAGACACATAGACTCTGATGGAGGAGAGCAGGGATTCATCTGGGATTACTTAACAGCTTACACACACACACACACACACCTCTGTGCACGCACACACACAAATACAGGCAAACATACTCACACAGATGCTGGCATAAATAAAAACACTTTCTCTCAGAGGGACGAGAGGAAAATAGGAGCGCTTACAGGAGAAGTGTTTTAAAGGAAAGGGTCTAATTAGCAAAGCAAGACGCCGGAGCCTGGGGGACACACTGGGCAGCGTGTATGTGTGTGTGTGTGTGTGTGTGTGTGTGTGTGTGCCTGTGTGAGTGTGTGTGTGTCCTGGCTTGTGTCTGAAACTCAGCTTGTTTGTCCA